GAGTGGGGGGCGATGGCGAAGCTCCGGGTGGCTTACGAGTACACGGAAGCCGAGGACAAGAGCATCCGGCTCGGCTTGTTTCTCATTATCTCCGGCGTCGTGTCGCTCTTCATCTTTGGCTTCTGCTGGCTCAGTCCCGCGCTGCAGGATCTGCAAGCCACGGCCGCCAACTGCACGGTGCTGTCGGTGCAGCAGATCAGCGAGGTGTTCGAGTGCACCTTCACCTGTGGCGCCGACTGCAGGGGCACCTCGCAATACCCCTGCGTCCAGGTCTACGTGAACAACTCGGAATCCAACTCCAGGGCGCTACTGCACAGCGACGAGCATCAGCTCCTTACCAACCCCAAGGTAAGGACGTCCGCCCCTGGTGCCCAGGGGCTCCAGCGAAGAATGCCTTGCTCCTGCGGAGCCCTGGAGATTTGGAGACAGCATAGGGTTAGACCCGTGCGGAGTAGCTCGGCATGGGTTCCAGTTGCTAGGAGGAGACAGACTTGGAAAGCTGTACTCAAACCCAGAGTGAGTTCATCTGGGAGCACCAGGTATCCGGTCCTTCGGGTGGGTTTGTGCAAGTGACAATCAGTCGTGCCCCCCAAAAATCTCTTTACACACCTATCTTGTCTGGCCTCAGATTTTGAGGCCCAGACTCAGCTGGGTCTGGCGCTTACAGGACGGGATTTGGAGAAATGCAAGCAGCAGAGAAAGTTAACTTTTCCTCCCGTGAAAGCCCTTGGGCAGCGAGGATCCACCTACTCCCGCACACGGTCAGCGATGGTCTGAGCTGCAGCAAAAACTTAGATGTAATGACTTTTGTTAGGAGGTCGAGGGGAGGGGTCTCTTAGCCCCTCGAAAGATGAGAGATCCTTTTTTTTTTTTTTTTTTACCACTAAACAGACCTTTTAAACCTGGGGTCTAAAGATAAACTTGAAATTCTACCTAGGTCCATTTTGGAGGGTCCTGTGGGATGCTGGTGACTCTGTGTATCTAGAGACAATCAGGAGCGGTCTGTAGAACAGTACAACTTACTGAAAATAGAAAACCCTCAGTGAAATATACCAAACAGTCCTTTCCTGACAACTTTCGATGTGACAGGCATAAAAGAAAAAAAGAAAAGAAAATCTGGTTAGGACTCTCAGGCTGGAGAGCTGAGGAGACTCAGAAAACTGTTCCCAGTGGAGAAAAATACTTATAAAAAGCAGTGAACTAATTGAGCTTCCTAGTGCATCTGCTTCTGCAGGAAGGGTTTTGTTTCTTCCTTTTGTCTTTCCTACTATCTTTGTTGCTTAACTATCAAAGTAAAGGTGTGTGTGTGTTTTTAAAAGTTACTGACACTTTTTCTCTTTGTGAGGGCCCTGCCTGAACACCAAGCAGGAAAGCAGTCCAAAAGAAAATGAACTGTATTTTCACAGGATAACTTTGTATTAAATGTGGCAAATTGCATTTATATTTGTCTCCCAAAAAATTCTGAATTAATATTTTAAAGTATTTAAAACAAACTTACTATTGCTGTGTAGTAAAATTCATGATCTTTTCTTCAAAACAGGAAATCCTTGAATATGAGAAAAGAAAAATAATTAAATTTTAGAAGTAAGACTCTTCTTAGAAAAATGCTCATGCTAACAAATTAATATTCATTTGCCTTAAAATGAAGATAATACAAAGAAATTAATAAATATAGGAGTAAGAACATAGAATGCAGAATTTAGAATATGATGTTCAAGCTCATGAAGAAGTGATAATTTCTCAAAGACATGTTATAAATTAGTCTGCTTAATGCTTAGTTATGTTTAAAAAGAAATATCAGGGTTTTAAAAACTATTTTTTCATTATCAAACTAGTAATACAAAAAAAGGGTGCCAAGAAGTAGTAATGATTTAGAAATTATATGATAGTTTATCATTTAGTTTTTACAGTTGGTAAAACATTGCTAATTACTTGAAGACTGTGATTTAGTCACTAATAAATTAATTATATGTATGTACATGTATGTGTATATACATGTACGTATATCTATCTATCTCTATCTATCTATCTATATCAGTAAATGATTAGTATCTAATCACGACATTGACAAATTAGAATTTGCTACAGGAAGGCTGCTTCACAATTTCCAGGCAATTATTCAGGATCTGGCAGAAAAGGTAAATTGAAATCATTAGGACACCGATTTTTAAATCACTGGAAAACAATCACAATTGCCTTATGTAATACCAAGATATTTCTCTCTGTGTCTGTTTCTCTTTCCCTTCCCCACTCTCTCTCAAATAATCTGGTATTTTCCAGTATCAGTTCAGAACTCAGCAATAGTTATTTTAAAGAAGTACCTGAACAAAATCACATCTTATGAAGGTAAGTATTCAGGAAATGAAAGAACAGAAAGATGTTATATTTATGTTACAAAAAGTGAACAACATCTCTATCAACTTAGGCCAGGTTTCCTCAGTCAAACCAATATTTCTCTCTTTATCCAGATGACAGGGTGTTGTGGCACATATAGGACATAAATTTGCTTTTCAACATCACCTTTTTATTTTTGATCAATTAAATACTCAATTTGGAAATTTTTGTAAACAATTTCTGTTGAGAAAATTCAGTGCAACTACAGTATTGTGGCAGAGTCAAGTACATGAGCGGATTGTTTACCCAGTGTCCTTGCAATTAGATAGTGTCCCCTGCCCATGCAGTTGCACCTTGGCCCCCTAGACCTTTTCTTGCCTTCCCTTACTTACCTCTTTAATGGAGGTTTAATTTTTCCACCCATTCCTTTCATTCCATGGATCCCAGCCACCTTCCACCTTCTCTTCACATCCCACCACCACAGGAAACCACTTAGGAAATCACTTAGAAAAATAGAACAAGCACTTTTTCTTCTCGCTTGAATTTGCTGCATTAATCACAATAAAAGACAGGACAGGGAAAGAATTTTACAAATGTATAACTTCGTAAGCCATAGTGAAATCTAAATTTGGGGTTCACTTTCTCTTACTACTCTCCCCATCCCTCCCCTGTCCCTGTCACACCACTGTCTCTTTGTAACTCAGCGGTTGAGTGTGCCAAGAGCTTTGGTTCTCAACTATGGTTGCACAGTGGAATTATCTGGGAACTTTAAAAAGAAATTTTTATGCTCAGGTCCAAGGCTCAGAGATTTCAACCTTCAAAGATGTCTTGGGTGGGGCCTGGGTATTGGTATTTTTATTCAGAGTTCTTCTCGTGATTCTAATAGGTAGATAAGAAATGAAAACCACTGTTTTGGACAGTGACCTCATCTACTGTTTAAGAAAAACAACATTAGAAGCAAAAGGACTCATGTAATTGATATTTGTGTTTTCGGGATAAAAGATCTTGTTGACACTACTGAAGACAGGAGGTTGATATAAAAAGAGAAACCCAAGGAAATTCTTAAGGCAAGGAAGAGAATAATTTAAAATTAGGTGGAAATGACCATTTAAAATTAGTTTAATTGAAATGAACTCATGCAATTCCAGACGTTTGGATTTGCATCAATATATACATTGGATGGCAAAGAAAAGATGAATTTTTCAACCTCATTCTTTTTTTTTTTGTGGTGCTGGTTGCTATATTCTTATATGTGGTGCTATATTCTTATATGAGGGATAAGAGAGAGCTGGTGATTAGAAACCACATGTTTAATTTTGTTTTAATTTTTTTTTCTTCCACTGATGATAAAAACCTAGAAACAAAGGATAAGTCTGTTTCTAAGAAACTGGTACTCTACAAGTGACAGAAATACACTGGAGAGGAAAACTTAGGTGGGAATGAAAAAGGCTTTGGGCTTTAAGTACCATCCCCTGGTGCTGTAGGTACCAGCTACATAAGCTGTAAGCACTGTGGCTTCTATGGCTTCTTGGAATTCTTCAGGTCCACATTGGTGCACCCATCCCCAGCACACAATTAGACAGTGTGGCCTGCTGGAGTTCATTTGTGGACTCCTTTTTTTGTAACATGTTTAATTTGTTACATTTTGTGCTCTACAGAGTCCATCTCTCCTCTCAAAACTACTTAGTAAAAGGCTCTGCTGGGTTGTGACTTCTCTGTATTAATAATACAGTCTTTATTTCTGCATTAAGAAGTGGCTTTCCTTGTTTTTTTTCTTCTAGTGAGTATATTAAATAATATTTGGTGTACACTTAAAATTCAATTGATCAGATAATTTTTCTTTATCTATTATGATCAAAGAACCAAAAAAGGAACCAGAGGTCATACAAAAATGAGTATTTAACAAAATAGTGTCTACTCTGTGACATGTGTGCTTCCAGGATCTGAGTCTAGAACAGATTGAAGTGAAGTCAGTGGCCTCATGGAACTTACATTTTGGTGCAGGGTAACAGACAAGAAGTTAATTTATAATGTTATGAAATGATAGATGGGTAAAGAAAATTCAGGCAGGGTAAGGGAATAGACAGTGATGGGAGAAGCAAAGGGCTGCTCTCTGGGGACAGGATGCTCCAAGACCACACCGGCCTGATGATATCTGCACAGACACCCAGAGAAGGTGAGGCATATGAAGAATCTGAAAGGAGATAAAGTATCAAATCTCATGGCTATCTGGGAAAAGAGCATTCCACAGGCTGAGCAAACAGTAAGTGCAAAGGCCCTGAGACAAGTGGCTGCCAGGTCTGGGTGAGAAACTGAGGACAGCACTGAGGTTGGATCGCAGTGAGCAGGGCAAAGAACAGAGGCAGATGATTAAGGCCTCAGAACAAGACAACTTTGGGTTTTATTCTAAATTTGACAGTGAGCACCTGACCTTGAGCAGGGCTGAGATCAGACTCAGACTTTGTAAAGATGTAAATGACTCCTTTGGTTGATGAGTTAAAAATGCAAAGTATGTGCACACAGGCTCACTGTGAAGAGCCGGAGGGACAAAGGCAAGTTCAGAAACAGGGTTCAATAGAACAGACAAAAGATGGTGGTGGCTTAGATCCATGGATAACTTTGGTAAAATTCACCGACAGGTTGAATATGAGAACTGAGGGAAAGAGAAGTCAAGTATGACTCCAAAATTTGTGGCAAGCACAGCTGGGTGAATGTTAGTTGGCGGAAAACTAGAGAAGTGGGTTTGGAGGAGTGTCGGTGAGAATCAAGGTTTCTGTTTCACATCTGCCCACCGGATGTACACAGGAGGAAGCCCTTCAAGGAGATTATTACCTAGCAGAGGAGATAAGAACATAGGTAACTATCAGAGGAGGCAGAGTGTCCAGTTCCACAGGGAGACCCCAGCAATATGGGGCCTCAATATGATCGTTGAGAAGGAAAAGGAGAAAACTTCATAAAGAAACATTTCCCATGAGTCTTGCTGAGGAAATTTTTATGTTGGTGCTAAAGAAAGG